TACCACTTGAGCCATGGTGCCACTTCCAGCCTTTTCTGTTTATGTGGTGCTGAGGAATCGAACCCAGAGCCTCATGCCTGCGAGGCAGGCACTCTACTGCTGAGCTACCTTCCCAGCCTCAGGAGGCTGAAATCTGAAGATGGTGATTTGAAGCCATCCTGGGCAGGAAAGTTTGGGAGACTCTTACCTCCAATAAACTATTCAAAAAAAATGCTCAAGTGGTAGAGCACTAGCCTTGAGCAAAAAAGCTCAGGGACAGCGTCTGGCACCTGAGTTCAAGCCTTAGGACCGGCATGTACCAAAAAAACAAAACAAAAAAGACAAAAAACAAACTCCTCTGTTGAGAGCCAGGGATATGCTGTGTCCCCCAACCCTGCCTCAAACCAGCAGACAGCTCTGTGAGGTTCATCTTTGAGCGTACTTTTAGGCTTCTTTACACTTTTTAGGTTGACAGATGAGTTTTCCTCCCACAATAAAAAAAAATAAAAAAGCTCCTCATGAAGTCATTCTGCCATTAGCAATAAATTAGTTCTACAATGAAATGAAGCCATTTTTTTTTTTGTAAACAGGCACTTTCTCATTCAAGGCCAAACTTGACAGAAAGCAAAAGCTAGAGAACATTTCAACTAAAAACAAACAAACATATATGCATATACATATATATATATATATATATATATATATATAATTTTTAAAAGCAATTTGCTTTGCAGAAGGAAGCATGCCAATGACAGCCCGCCGTACCTAATTAGTGCTCCCATTTGCCCCTGCACTGCAGGCTCCCTTTCCATGCAGGGAGCTGTCTCCAAGTCCCTTCCCCTTCACCACCCGGCAGCCAGAATCAGTCTGCTGACGGCTCAGGAGTCTTTGAGCAACACGATCTAGTTGGTTTCCTGACACGGCGGCAGGAGGTACTGACAGATTGAGTGCTGGGCCGAGTCCTGTTCCAAGAAGAGTGCCTGACATAGGGTTATGCAAAGCAGGATGGAAATTCCCATGAAATCCCGGTGCTCTGCATGGACTGCTCCCTCCGTCTTCAGAGGTTACAAGATCACGTGGATACCACCTTCAAGGTGATGCGGCTTCATCCTACCCTCAGGGGAGGCCAGACTCAGTGACTTGCTTCTCCACCTCCCCCCCAAAAAAACCACCACCACACAACAGTATAAAAATGGAAAAAACTAACTACACAAGAAGCCGGGTGTCCGCCTGGTGTCACTCACACAGTGAACCAGGCAGTGGTGGTACGTGTGTGGCCACGCAGTTCTCACCGAGCCCTGGGATGTGGCCGCAGGAGGTCTTGCCTCTGAAGACCAGTAACTCCGCGATGAGGAAAGATGTGGGGCAAACGTGGACTGGGAGCCGTCCTCCCATCTCCTCCCTTCCCTCAGAACTGTCAAGGTCAGGAAAAGACCGGAGTGTACAAAGAGGTTGTAGGTCAGAGGCACTATGGGAATAAGGCAAGTAAACTCCCAGGGTACCCGGGATGAGGTGCCGAGACGGAGGGAGGAATAAGCTGGTGAAATCTAAGGAAGTCAGTGAGCGTAGACAAATGTCCGTGTTTTAGTTTTAAAAAACATTGTTTAGTTTGGGGATTGAACTTGGGTCCTCAGGTGGGCTAGGCCAGTGCTCTACCTCTGAGCCACACCTCCAGCCCTGAGCTTTTTGGTTTTGGCAAACTTAACGTATCGGACGGTGCTAGTAAAGGGGGCCGGGGCTGCTGGTGATGACAGACTGGGACTTGGCAGCTTTTCTGTCAGACGTCACTGTACCTGTGATGACCTCACTGGCCATGTCACGTGACTGTTCCTTAGGCCGGACTATTCCTTACGAGTACCCGCCACTTCTAAAGATGGAACAAGAACTCCCAGTCTGATCATGGGGAAGAAGTCAAGATGGAGTCAGCTCAGCAGCCATCATTCCACCGGACAACGTCAACCTGAACCGTTCCGCTCACCTAAAATTATTCACAATATCAAACCTTGCTGGAAAAATGTCAAGGAGTGTTTTTTTAACCGTGCTTTCTCTTCCATTTTCTTTTCCCCTTCTTTCATCTTTCTGGGCAGCAGTAGCATTGGAAGCACAGGACTTTGGTTTTTTCTAGGCAGGTGTTCTGCTCTGTGAGCCACACCCCACGCTGCCTCTTCTTATTTTCTTAGTGTACACCTCTAATGTGGTTCTGCTAGTGCTTTTAAGGACATCAGACTGTTTTTCATGGAGTGTCTATACTCCCAAGCATATATGGCTCAGACGCTGACTCTGAGGACATTTCTCTCTCTCTCTCTCTCTCTCTTTTTTTTTTGTCAGCTGCGGAGCTTGAACTCAGGGCCTGGGCGCTCTCTGCCACTTTGAGCCACAGCTCCACTTCTGGTTTTCTGGTGGTTAATTGGAAAAAAGAGTCTCATGGACTTTCTTGCTGAGGTTGGGCTTTGAATGGTGATCCTCAGATCTCAGGCTCCTCAGTTACTAGGATTACAGGTGTGAGCTACTGGCACCAGCTTGGATACATTGCTTAAGAGTAAAGGCTAGAATGGTAATTCATCATCAAACACTGACAATTGTCCATGGAAACTCTGAAAATCAGAAGGTCATCATGTTTGACCTCATTATGTATAAGTTACCCATAAGAATCTATGTAATGGTACAATACAATTATAATTACTCTTGCTAGATGGGCATAAAACTGATTGATGTTAAAATGATAGACTTTAAAAAATTGGTGGAAAAATTGATAAAAGAGACTTTGGAGCTAATTTTGTCACACATTCCTCAAAGTGCAATCCTCTGGGGAGCCTCTCGGACTGATTGAAGGCTTTGTTTTTTTTTTTTTGCTGCTGCTTATCTGGCCAGCTTGTGTCTGCCTGTGCATCTGTTTTATTTATGTGGTCAGTGGACTTCCTTAAAGATGATGGGAGGCAAACCTTAACACAGAGCTGGGCCCAGCAGCTTGTGCCTGTAACCCTAGCTATGTGGAGGTGGTAGTATACTCTCTAATAGCTGTATTTCCATGGTGAAACCTTTCACTTTCAAGCTGTTCTCAAATGTACCTCGATCATTCTAATATACTAGATTCAGTTTGGCTTTGAATCTGTATGGCTTGTACTTCATCTGTACTGATGACTTCTTTATCAATGGCCCTGTTGAAACCCTCCATCCTGGATGGGCAATGACTGAATGGACATCGAATAGTTTGTGCAAATGATGGAATGGATGGAAAGACAGATACATGGACGTTCTTTCAAGAAGTCATGACTCTCCATGACCGGTGTTTCTTGGTGAATTTCTCGCCTCATTCTTCAACACAGGTGAAGTGAAAAATCCCCGGCCAGGTGAAATGTCTGGAGCGTGTGTGTCCCAAGCCCGGCTCAGATCCACCATGAGGACCCAAATCCCAAGCGACTGGTAGTCACCACGCCATTCGCTTGACAGTTCAACACGACGCTGGAGAAACGAGACAGTCCCGTCCCCCTCCCGAGTGAGCACTCCTGAGTTCTTGGAGTTCAGTCCTGACAGTTGGGTGAGGGATGTGGCGGCCCGTGGCATCTTTGTGGGTCATGAGATCCTACAGAGTTGCAGATGCTTCCCTGGACTGTGAAAATGGTCACTCTGCTGGCTAGTTGCCACACAAGCAACAGCCTTGGGATCAGCAGACCTTGGGAGGCAAGGTACCCATCATGCTCCTGGGCCTAGGAGAGGTCCCATGTGGCGGGCGTGAGTGAGAAGCCAGGCTCCAGGGCTCAGTGATGATAGGGTCTCACCAGAATGAGGAAGAGGAAGTAACAGATTTACAGAACAAGGGACCAGAGGAACGGGATGGGACAAGAACACGTCACCCCCTGTCCCCACCAGTCTGTGAAAGACAGCGTTGGTTCTTCCAATTGCCTGCCTGTCCTGGAAACCCAGGGATGTCTTCAACAACAGGCGATGACAACGGCATGATTCATTTAAAGAGATCATTAAAAAGCAAGTCAAGGCACATCACATTCCGCTTTCTTTAATTTGCTCATCTATTATTACTGTGGGTGAGATTACGGCTTTGTGTTAATTCTTCTAAATAGTGTAAAACATTGATTGGTAAATATAGCAGTGCATAAATTAATGCCAGTTAAGATTGTAGAGGGGAATTTCAGTTTTCTTCTCCCTATCAATAGCCATCATTTTTACTTTGCATGAGACGCTATTGTGCAGATATGACCGGGCTCAGGGCAGAGCGAGATCACCATGACCTCTGGCATGACAGGGGTGTCTGGGTGGACTGGTGGCTTGTTGGTGATGTCAGCTTCTTTCCTATGAAGGAAGAGAGGACACACAGAGGTATAAAATCCTGTTTTTTTTTTTTTTATGCTTTCCTTTCTCCCTTGCTTCCTTTCTTTCTTGCTTTCTTTTAGCAATCACAGCTTACTTCAGTAACAAACTACGTGACCTGAGGTGGCTTTTTAGAAGTGAGAGTATTTGTTATTTTACTCATCTGGAAGTCTACAAGTAGATGCTTCTGTCCAGCTGATTTGGTGGCTGAACAGTGTCACTCATTGCCCAAGATCCTGTTTCCATACAGCAGTGTCCATATATAGAGAAGGGAATAGGGTGTGTATGTGTGTGTGTGTGTGTGTGTGTGTGTGTGTGTGTGTGTGTGTGTCTGTCTGTCTGTCTGTCTGTCTGCAAATCACGAGGTTTGAACTCAGGACTTGGATTCTGTTCCTGAGTTTTTATGCTCAAGGCTAATGCTCTATATATGTGAGCCACAGTTCTATTTCTGGCTTTCTGGTGGTTTATTGGCGATAAGAGACTCACAGGCTTTCCGTCCATGTTGGCTTTGAACCGTGATCTCTAGGATGACAGGCATGAGCCACCGGAGCCCAGTGCATATGTATTTTAATCCTAGAGAAAAATCATTTCCATGGCCCCTCAGCAGACTTCCAACCAAGTCTGAAACGTGGCCGGCGTTCCTACTCCCCTTGAAGCAATCCCAGAAAGTCAGGAAGGTGTAGAAGAGACTCACCATGGCCCAGACGCAGGTTAGGGGAAGACCCGGCTCCACTCATTCTCCCCTGTCTCGTCCTTTTTTATTCTTATTTTTGGGAGCAACAGAGAAAGGACTTAATGTGTGCGGCACCTGTGTTATTGGCCAGCCAGTCAAAGCAACATCCGCTGGTGACAGAATGCCGTACCGTATGGCCCCTTCTTCCACTTCCTCACTAGCAGAGATGACAGAAGCAAGCGAGACAGCCCCGTTCTCAGGGACTCTGGGTGGGTGTTGTCATAAAGCGGGCGGTTTCAAAGCTGGAGCATCTAATTCAGTAAAGTTTACAAGTTGCCTATTACAGCTCAAGAGGTGGGAAGCCAGACACCAGCCAGCACTCGTCCTGGCCTGCAAGGAACTCACGATTCTCTTTGCCACCTGTTTAATTCAGTCTGGTCATCCAGGGTCTGTGTCCGCCCCTCGTTACTGTTGGCTTCTCGCTGAACACAAGGGCCACCATATTGTTGGGATGTCTTTTTCTTTCTTTCTTTTTTAGACTTCGTTTCTCTCATTCATCACCCGACGACCTGGCTGGGCTAAACACTCTTTCCTGAGCTCTCCCAGCGTGGGCATTTCATTCCGCCACCTGCCTTGTCATCCCTGGTCTTGACTGCTATCTGTTCACTGCCACCTGGCATGAAGCCCCAGGACTGCTGGTGGGGTTTGATCAATCCTTTTTGCTTAGTTTGGTGACTGGGATGCAATTTCCAGTGGATGTTTGTGGGACAGATGTGTAAGTAATTGAGTGAATGGTGTTGAAATCTGGATCCTTTACTCTCCTCTGATCCGTTTCTGCTTTATTAACTGTTCTAATTTCCTTTTCTCTTCTTGTTTTTCTTCCTTACCTCTCCATTTCCTCTCTTATTTTCCCTTTCTGTTGCTCATTTATTTATAATTAAGGATGGAATCTAGCCTTTTAAATTGTTCTATTTTCCTTTTCTCTTCTTTTTTTTCTTCCTTACCTCCCCATTTCCTCTCTTATTTTCCCTTTCTGTTGCTCATTTATTTATAATTAAGGATGGAATCCAGCCTTTAAAGGGTTTTAAATATTAACTTTATGGCTATTATTAAGGAGTAGTTCAGAGGGGTTGCAAATACATAAGTCAGAAAATGAGCACCATTCTTGGACAGTGTTACCTCTTTGGTTTCTCCCAGTTTACCCTTCCCTTCCCTGCCCACAAGTTGCATGGTTCATTTTTTATTTTTTTTACATAGTATAGACTGACTGCTTTTGTTCACCCTTCCTCCCTCCATTTCTGTGTCCCCCTTTTGTTCATAAAAAGACAAAAAAAACCCAAACAGAAACAAGTAGCACCAATAACACCACCAGTAACACCACCACCATCACCAACAGAAAAACAAACTCTCTCCCTCTTCACAGGAAGATAGAATGTGTTTGGAATTGATCCACGAATATCTGTGTGGGAGATGAAAACCCAAGGTTTTATTTTCCAAACATGAGGCATCCTTGGGCTCCCTTTCAAAAGCCTGAAGCCCTGAAAAACTCCCCCAGGGTATAGATCAGTTTCAGGGCTCTTCATGGATTGCTGTGTCCAGCTTTCTTTCCGTAGACCAAGGATGCGAAGGCCCTAACATTTGGTGCAGGTGTACATACAGTGGCTATGGGGTGACAGGGATTTGGGAATTTAGAAAGATGGCCTCTTTGCCTAGCCAGTGTACGTCTCACTGATGGTAAGATGAGAATTGGTGCCTGAAATAATACACAAGAGATGCCTTCCGGTGCTTCCCCGATCAGGCTAGGCCTCTGCTCCGAGGAAGCTGGTCTCGGTTGTACTTCCTGCTCTACTCTGTGGATGATCTGAAGGAATTCTGCAGGTCCTCTGGCTTTCTGAGCTCAGGGGCCTGCGTTGTACAAGGCATAGGGCAGCAGGCATTACAAGGGTGCTTCAGGGCACCGTCATGAATTGGTACCACCCGGGGGCCTCTACTTGAGAAGTTTAAAAAAGGAGGAAAGAATAAAAGAATCACCTTGTTTACTGAGCAAGTATTTGCATCAACATTTTTTTGGTGAGTTTTTGTTCCTACCCTACTGAAATGAAAACAATCCAAGTCTGCAAAAACAAACCTAGGGTTTGGGCCACCTGGACCCACAAAATTATGTTTGGTGTCGGCATCAATCCTCGGTACTTATTATTTTGTGAACCTGGCAGATATTACTATAGCACAGACCAGAGGAATGATAATGACTAGAGAGAGAGGGAGGGAGAGAGAGAGAGAGAGAGAGAGAGAGAGAGAGAGAGAGAGAGAGAGAGAGAGAGAGAAGCCTAGCTCCTGAAACTCCATCTGAGTGAGCCCACCCACTGATGACTATTGTTCAAGGAAAGCTTCTCATGGCCATCCATCCTCCTGCTGGCATGGATAGCCCTTCTCTGTGGAAGCATAGCCCTACCTCCCCCCTGTACATCTTCCACCACCCCACCTCCCCCCTGCACACCCCCAGCCACCCCACCTCCCCCCTGCACACCCCCAGCCACCCCACCTCCCCCCTGTACACCCCGACCCCACCTCCTGCCTCTTGGGTCCTTCGTAACGTGGCCGCCCATGTTCCTATTGCAGACCTCCTCTGACAAGGTGTCCGTCCTGGCCATCCTCCAGGTCCTTGGCGATCTGCTCTCTGTCGGTGAGTAGCTGCACGCCCAGCTGATCCCGTGGGGATCCAGGGTGGTGTCGGCTGTGGTGGGCCAAGGGTCCTGTGTGAGAATCACCAGGCAACGTTTTCCCCTAGCGGTCACGCCACCCGGAACAGACTAGGCTGGGGGCGCTGGGGGTTTGCCGTCTCCACATCTACTCCACAGTGACCGCAGCGGCAGCGGCAGCTGGAAGCGGGGTGGCTTTTCTGTGGTTTGTTGTCTGCACACTCAGTCAGTGATCACACGGGTCTGTGGAGGTGGAGATCTCCTCAAGTAGAACAGCCGGCATTAGGAAATCATTCCCCCGTCGGCAAAATTATTCTCAATAAACTAGCTTTCCAGTTCCTGTTTGTCATGATTCAGTTCTACAGCAGAAGGATATTAAGTATTTGGTGACATGTAAACTGTCCATGCATTTCTACATATATGGGCACATGTATACACAGAAACACATGTGAATGTATTCATATGCACATGTACACATAAATACATGCATGTGTACTTAGATGTACATGATATGTAGAAATGCATGCATATGTATTTATTTACATGCACGTGCATACATAGAAATGCATGTATGTCTTTATACACACATGCACGTATGCATGTGCATACGTATGCATGTGCGTGCATCAATAAAGGTTCTGTGGGCTCTTTAGGATATGGATCCCACAGTTTGTTACAGCAGCTGGAGGTAAATATACCTAGGCCCAATCCATTATGGAGCTCCCCAGTTTTGGTTTCTGGGGGTGAAACGAAGCAACCTTCCTCCCTGTCTCTGGCCACCGGGTCTGAGGTCAGCCGGAAGGACGGCAGCTGCGGTCGCTCGAGGCTCATCTCTCCTGTGCTTGCCTGGCAGGCACAGACCGGAGGATCCACTACATGATCAGCAAGGGCGGCAGCGAGGCCCTGCTGCGCGTCCTGGTGGACACAGCGCGGACCCCAGACCCCGACTACGATGTCCTCCTGCCGCTCCTCCGGCTGCTGGCCAAAGTTGGTTTGCGAGGTAACCACACCCCAGACCCGGACGATGACTCAGGGGCGTCGCGGTGACGCGGAGGGGCAGCCGGCCGGGATGTCCTGGGTGTGTTGGTGGGATGGGCAGCCTGGGAGAGGAAATGCATTGTTGACCTAGATGTCACCCAATCCAAGGCCAGGGGTCACAACGCGTGTGGGCGACAGGGGGAAACGAAGAGGAACACTCCCCCCCCCCCCCACAGTGCCCATCCCTGTGGAAAGAAACAAAGATGGAGACGCAAGGCCGGTGTGCGGGGATGAGCCTCCTAGCGCTCCCATCGCAAACTACCCCAGACGGAGAGGCACGGCGTGCATTCTCACGTGTGTTCTGAAGGCCGCAGGCTCCAGGTTAACGTACTGGCCGCACAGACCCCTGGTCGAGGCTCTCAGGAGTCAGTTGTCCTCCTGGTAGTAGCTGGTGGCCACCAGCCTTGGCGTTCCCTGGCCTGTGGGTGTGTCACGCCCATCTCTGCCTCACTTGGAGTGCTTTGCGCGCCTCTCCTCTTCCTGGAGGGGCAGGAACGCAGCGAGCCCACCTTGCTTAGTAATTCATGACGCGTGGTGTCCACCAGGTGAAGCAGAAGAAAGATACAGATAAAAGAAAGTCCACGAGGAGAGACATCACAGCTCAAGTCCTTGAAACCCAGTATGTCAGTCCTCAGAGACACAGGCCTTGGGCTGGCGGCTTGGTTGGGGTGGACCAGCTCTCAGCCAGTCCCATCCCGTGTCCAGCTGTGTGTAAACTGTGTCAATCTGCTGAGGGTGGTTCATCTACCACCATAGTTCATCTACTGAGCTCTCTGCCTTTCATCTGGTGAAAATACACCCCCCCCTTGTGAAGGAAATGGTGCTCCCCAACATAAAGTAAAAGTTCCAAGGCCATGGAATGTGCTTAATTGAAGCAATTAAGTAAACATTGGAGATCTGTTGAAAGGTACCTGTCTTTGATGGGAAATCAGGTGATGTTTGGGGGAAAATATAATCAATCACAGATCAATAGTATTCAAAATAAAGATCATGAAGTAAGATCTAGTTTCGGGCGAGAAGTATGAATGTGGATGACAATTATATATATATATATATATATATGTATATATATATATATATATATAATTATACCAATCTAGAGTTGATATAGATAGATAGATAGATAGATAGATATCTCAACACTGTGTATGATTTGGGCAAATAAGAGTAATTTTAGAACTCTGTACATCATTGCCATTAGTGGGTTTTTTTTTCTTTCTCAGTGGTGGCCTTCTTGGAACCATACAGCTGTAGATTACAAGAATCTACTATAACATGAATAAACCCATTTACTCCCCTTCACCCCCGCAAAAAAAAGAATCTACTATAGTTAGATTTAGAGCTCATCCTATTTTGTGTACCCTCAGATTTAACTAACTCACTCCACAAAGACCATTTCTACGTAAGGTAACATTCTTAGGTTCTGGGTGGATACAAATATTTGGGGAGGCCCGCCATTTGCTTAACCCTTAGAAGCAGCCCTTCCCGAGGGGAGGAGAGGGGAGACCTTCATACTCTCTACTTACCCCCACGGAGAACCGTGAAACATCACCCTGGGGTCTGGCAACTTCCTGGAGGAGCACGGCAGCACCAGGCAGCTAATGTGAAGTGGTCCTACCAGCGAAGCTGAAGTTGTGCATTGAGTCACAGAGAGGTCATGTCAGAAATGGAGGCCATCTGGACAGGTGGGCCTTTGCTATATCCATTGGCTGTGGAGCTTGTAGCCTGGAGGCAAAGCTCTGGGGCACCCGTTCAGTGTTATTGCCTTCAGTCCCTCTACCCCTCCACAGGTAACCACTGAGAAACAGGAAGTCCCAATGGATGCATTACATCACAGGAAACCCAGACAGAATTAGGGAACCAGCCTGCAGGGAGACACTGTTCCAACTGGGACAAGCCAACAAGTTGACAGCTTATGAACTAGATCCTAGCAGACTGTAGTGGATCCCTTCAAGAAAGACCGATGCTACTCTAAGATGCCAGGCTAGGGAGAAGTGACATTTGAGCTGAAACTTGAAGAACAGGAGAAAGTCAGCAAAGTGGAGTGGGCCAAGGGAGCTCGAGGAAAAGACGGTAGAGATCTGATACGTCATCCATCAACAGCCTACTCTTGGAAGTCGGGCCTGACACCTACTCCCTAGTGAGCTCAGGCAGGTTATTTTCAAGTGATTTTAGTTTCTTCCCCATTGAGCCTCGGTTCATAAAATGGAGATACAGACGTCAGTTGTAGGATTGCTGTGAAGATGAAATGAGGTGTGGCCTGTCGTGGGCTTAGTATGTGGGGGACAGGGGCCTGATCATCGAGATTCATAAGGGTTTCACGGGGGAAGAGCTGAGAGGGATGCGGGCAGTGATTTCCAGGTTACTGATTTTTGACGTTGCTTTTGTAACAATTAGGTCACCATGAAGAGGTTACTGCCTTGATCGTGACATTTACGTTGCCAGGGGTTCACCTGAGCAGAATAGATATGAGTTCAGCTATGCATGGGCGGAGGAGGGTAGCTATTTATTTTCTGATGATGGAAATGCAAGTTTAGTTACAATCTCTGCTGGTACCCTTCGGCCCAGAGATAAAACTGGAAAAGCCTAGGTTAGGATTTTTTTTTTTTGCTGTTTGTTGTTGGTCATGGAGTTTGAACTCAGGACTCAGGCCCTGTCCCTGAGCTCTTTTGCTCAAGGCTCTACCACTTTGAGTCACAGTGCTACTTCTAGGATATATTTTGATTTACCCATTTCTACCTGAAATGATCTTTATTTTTTAAAGTAAAAATTCCTTCCTTCCTCCCTCCCTCCAACCTCCCTCCCTCCCTCCTTTCTTTTCTTCCTTCACAACATTGGGGTTTGAACTCAGAGTCCATTGTTTGCTCAGCAAGTACTCTACCTTTTGAGCCACACCCCAGACTCACTCATTGTATTTGTGATACTTAAGTGTTTTTTTTGGTAAATTTTCTTCTGGGGGTATTTACATGTCTTCTTTATTAACACGTACTAGTTGTACAAGGGGGTTTTGTTGTGACATTTCCATACCTATATTCAATGTGGCATAGTAATCTCAACCCCCCCCCCCCCCCCAAGTATCCTCAGAGGAAGATGTGGGACTGGCGCTCACATAGGAGAATGACCAGAAACACCTGCCACCTGCCGCTCTAACGGCCGGGGAGTCACACAAGCACAGGCCTCCGCATAGGCGGGCGTGCGCGGCCAGACCAGAATGAGCTCTTTGGGTCTGTGCCTCTGCGGCGGGGCCGTGTTTTGCAGCATGTTCCTCGCTTAGCCTGCAGTTCCCCTCCTCCTCCTCCTCCTCCTCCCCTTCCTCCACTCCACACGTGACACAGTCTGCAGAGTGGACGTGCAACCCCATTAAGAGACGTGCTTTTGTGTCCCTAGATAAAAAGTTCGGACAGAAAGCACTGGACTTAGAAGCGCTCGATGTGACGTTGATTCTGGCCAGGAAAAGCCTGGCTCACAGCTACCACCTCCTTCACTACCTCTGGGTTCTGCGTGTTTCTGCCTCCAGTGGTGAGTGTCCGTATCACCCTGCCCCTCTGGGGTTGTGTCTGAACCTGGGCTTCCAGGAAGCTGGTGGGGGTCAAGGAGGAATAAGGGCCAGGGGGCAGAGACTATATATGGTCCCACTTAGAAAACTAAAGGAACCTGGTGGCAGCAGACGCTGAGGAGGGGAGAGTTTTTTTTTTCATCTCCTCCTTAGCTAGGTAGAACTCATGAGACAATGCCTAGAGAGAGACTTCAAGATTGGGTTTACCTGGGAGCGACATGTTAGAACATTCTAGATTTCTCTGTTAGCATGGTCAGGTAAAGAAGATCTATGCAGGAGAGGGCCAGACTTTTTGCAGTTTTTATCATGTCCGAGACACAGTGTTACGTGTTACGTATGTCAAGAATGACACGGTAGGAAGCTCCTTACTAGATCCCTGAAACTACTCATTGGTTTATATGTCTTGTACTACTCTTAGTAATAATAATAATTATAGTTATATAATTATAATAATTATAATTAAGTAGTAGTACCAAGGGGTTCCAGTTCAGCATGCCAATTTATGAGTACAATGCATCTTGGTCAGTGTCACCTCTTTTCATTGTTTACTGTTCGTGTGTGTGTGTGTGTGTGTGTGTGTGTGTGTGTGTGTGTGTGTGTGAGTGTCCGTGTCCCTGAAGCTTGAACTCAGGGCCTGGGCACTGTCCCTGAGTATTTTTTTGTCCATGGCTAATGGCTAATGCTCTACCACTAGAGTTCCAGCTCTACTTCTGGCTTTTTGGTAGTTAATTGGAGATTAGCGTCTCACAGACCTTCCTGCCTGAGCTGGCTTGGAACTGTGGTCCTTAGATCTTAGCCTCCTGGGTTGCTAGGATTACAGGTGTGAGCCTCTGGTACCTGGCTTTTTTTCTTTTTTCTTTAAAAAAAAATCTCATAATCCTTTCAGAAAGCTCTTCAGGTAGCTACCGGGATCACTGCAGGTAGACTCATACTTATTTTCCATCTCCTGATTAAGAATTATTTCTAATTATCTTAACAGCTCTGTACTTTATACCCACAATTTTATAATTAAGAAAAAAAATGACAAAAGCAGCTTAAAAGAGTGAAGAGATGGTTTTAATGGATGCAGGTAAAAAAGCCATGAGGGCCAAGTGTCTAACTCGTAAACTCATTCTGCTCCATATGGAGATCACTTTTATTAATAGATTGGATTCTACACCATCTACTTCACACATAATGAGCACAGATTTTTCATTTCTTTTTTTCTTTTTTAATTCTGAGCCTCCCTTTCTTTGGGAACAAAACTGAGAATTATTTCTATGTAATAAAACTCTCTGGGGAAAAGAAAACGGGCTTACAGCCAGAAAGACCTGAGTTTGACTCTTGGGTCTTTCTTACGAGTCATACAACATGAGCACTTAACCTGCTTAATCTTGGTTTTTTTCCTTCATAAAATTATAACAGCAATGATTACTACCATGGATCTTTGAGGCCTACCATAACAAAATACCAAAGTTTTAACAGGGATACATTCTCTAAGAATGCAGGAGGCTGGAAGTCTGGATCGAGATATCCATGGATTTGCTTTCTGCTTTGAGGGGCCTCTCTCTCCTTAGCTTTAGGAAGATGGCTGCATCTCCCTGTGCTTTCACACGGTCTTTTCTTCTCCATTGTGCATCTCTGATATCTTTAAAAAATTATTATTATAAAGATGATATACAGAAGAGTTACCATCTGATGTCTCAAACATTTTTTATTGTTAGTCTATGTCTGTCTGTCTGTCTATAATTTTTGCTAGTCCAGGAGCTAGAACTCTGGGCCTGGGTACTGTTCCTGAACTTCTTTTGCTCAAGGTTAGCACTCTACCACTTGAGCCACAGCTCCACTTCCTGCTTTTTCTGAGTAGTTTATTGGAGATAAGAGTCTCATGGACTTTTCTGACCAGGCTGGCTTTGAACCATCATTATCTGAGCTCAGCCTCCTGAGTCAATAGGATTACATGCCACCGGAGCCTAGCTTATTGTTATTATAAAGGTGGTGTACAGAGGTGTTACCGTTACATGTCAGGTAAAGATTACATTTCTTTTTGGACAATGTCACCTCTCATTCTCAATAGTGTCTCTTTTTGTGTCTGTATTTCCCTTTTTTTTTTTTTGGGTCCGGTCGTGGGGCCTGAACTCTGGGCCTAGGCGCTGTCCCTCAGCTCTTCAGCTCAAGGCTAGCGCTCTACCACTTGAGCCACAGCACCACTTCTGCTTTTTTCTTTTTGCTTATGTGGTGCTGAGGAATCGAACCCAGGGCCTCATGCATGCAAGGCAAGCACTCTACCACTGAGCCACCTTCCCAGCCCTCCCTTTTTTTTTTTTTTTTAAAGGACACAAGTCAGATTAGATTATGACCTTATTTTAATTTAATTACTTCTTTATGTAATGGAGATTAGGACTTCTGGTGAACTTAAGTCAGCCCACAGTAAAGCTCGTTGACTGGATAGAAGGAATTAATAAGATCAGGTTTACCAGTCAGACTAGCACGTGGTCTCTTTAGTTGCTAGTTTCCCTTTCCTGCCATGTTGTTTTCTTTAATCTTTTGAAGTATTAGGAGGAGTACCTAACAGGTGGCAAATCAACAAATCAGTTTTATCTAGTTTCACAAGGATGACTAAAATAACTTGATTCCCATTGGTGCATCTGTAACTGGGCAAAATAGCTTGTAAAGAGATGGTGTTCCGGGCTGGGAAGGTGGCTCAGTGGTAGAGCGCTTGCCTTGCATGCCTGAGGCCCTGGGTTTGATTCCTCAGCACCACATAAGCAAAAAGAAAAAAGCCGGAAGTGGCTCTGTGGCTTAAGTGGTAGAGCGCTAGCCTTGAGCTGAAGAGCTGAGGGACAGCACCCAAGCCCAGAGTTCAGGCCCCACGACTGGACCCCTCCCCCCTCAAAAAATAAAAAAAAAATAATACGACAGATCCTTGACTCCTGGATCACACTAATCTCAGGCACCCTGGTCAGAAAACCAGAGAGGCTTTAAGAGAAACTACGGTATGGGAACAACCTATTTCTAATAAAGGAAAAGAGGACAACATTCATTAATGAGTAGCCAGAAGGTATGATATCCTCATTTAGAGCTTGCCAGCACCACAAAGATCTGAAATAGCTATGGTTTCCTACAGAATAATTAGGTTGAATGACTTGCCTTCCTGAGGATATCTTACAATTCTAGATATCTAGGAGAAAAAACAATTATCTTCAGCTGGAGCTCCTGAGAAACCCCGGATTTGCCTGTGGGTATCAGGAAGGTCCAGCCATTTGGCTGCTCCTATTTCAAACACGCATTTAGGATACCAACCAACTGTCTCAAGTATTAAAAATGAGCCCATCACTCTCGATACATTGACTTCATCGATGGCAGGTAAGCAGCGTTCACAGGGCCTGGGGTTGCTATCTCTTTGGTGAATTGCTAGCTCTTACTGACTGCTCTGGCAAGTGTTCTGAACAGCTCTTCTCTTCAGAGGAGTTGGCCCAAGATGCAATCAGTCCATGACTGCATGTTTATAATCATCCAGTTGGGCAGAAAGGAAAATTTTCCTAGGCTCCTAACTTTCACAGCCTGAAGAACCCATTCTTCCCCTGGCACGTTGCTAGCAAATCTCTTGAGAGTTTTAAAGGAATCAATCTCAAGTTGTTGGAACTCCTCCCCTCATGGTGATAACTACTGTGCTTTTTTTTTTTTTTTTTTTGTCTCTCGCAGTAACTACGGCAGCCATGCTAGGGATTAATGGAGCGATGGAACTGCTTTTCAAGGTCATTACTCCTTATTCACGGAGGCACACCCGAACAGTCAGGTACCCAACATCTTCCTATTGCCTCTCTACCGTCTTTGTAACAGGTAGGTGGGTGGGGGGGAATGGAGGTGGAGGCCCGGCCTCCATCTCCTCCTGTTTGATGACGTGGAATTCCAGACAAGGGACAATAACTTTCATTTCATCTCAGTTTGCGTCCGGATCCACCTGTGAGTTCTTTCCTCTCTTCCTCCCAAGCAGCTCGGAAGCCATCCATTACTGGCCTCAATATCAGAGAAAGAGGCCAAAGTGTGGCAGGGAATGACGAAGTTGAGATCTGTAGCCCTCTCTTTCAGACTCATACAGTCGTGTTTCCTTTCTGTTTTTTTAATTAATTAATTGTTGGTCATGGGGCCTGAACTCTGGGCCTGGGTGCTGTCCCTCAGCTCTCCAGCTCAAGGCAAGCGTCTACCACTTGAGCCATGGCACCACTTCCAGTTTTCCGGTAGTTCATTGGAGATAAGAGTCTCACGGATTTTCCTGCCCAGGCTGGCTTTGAACCATGATCCTCAGATCTCAGCCTCCTGAGTAGTTAGGATGACAGGTGTGAGTCACTGGCACCTGGCTTATTTTATTTTTCCTTCAACCTTCTGGCATATCCCTTTTGTGAACAGCAGTCTGGGAGTATAGTACTCAAGCGATGATTTGGAAATGACACGTTCTCTACAGAATGAGCAAGTTACACTAAAGATAAGAGTTCTGGGCTTTAGAATGGTCCATCATGGTTGTATGCTGGTCTTGATATGTATTTTTTTTTTTAATGATGGGAGAATGTTCTGTCAGCCACTGTTGGCTGGTGTGGAGTGAATCACCGGGTCAGGAGGCAGATGGCTTTACATAAAGACTTTAGAGACATTCAGGACCATGAAGATCCATCATTTAGGGAAGTGGCTCAGTAAGGGCCTTGAAAGAATATTAGAAGGAAGTCGGCCAGTTTCTCAGATCTATGGGGTCATTTGGCAAGGAGCATTTCCATGCCCAGCTATGATGTTTCTCAGCATCCTCACATCCATCTTAGGCTCATGTTCCCCCTGATTATATTTCTTCTGGGTCACCACAGTTGGGCCATTATCATCCATTCTCACCTGCGGCTCTCGATGCCGGCCTTTCCCGGAGTGAAATACATTACGTCTCAGCCAGCAAGGAAAAAAAAAAAAGTTCTCATCAAATAAATGGGGAAGGTCCTGGGTTAAACAAAGTACCATAGGTTTCATGTTTGTGAGACTTAGCAGAACCTTTTTCTGAAACCTACAAGTTAGGAAGATCTGAAGATGGTTGCATAGTATAATTCAGTCCAAATCTTGTTAGGAAACTATTTTTTTTTTTCCTGAAAGACCACCATTTCAAGGGGACAGTGTTCTATATATTTCATTTCTGAAGCACTCTCTTCTAGAGTGGAAATTCATTGCATAGTAGGATAAAACTATGTTCCGTCAGGGGACCTTTGTCTATCAGACACAAAACTTCTATTTTATATTAGTCCAATCGTGTCTGGGAACAGCAACTGAACGCGAGTGTCTCATGGGGGACTTTAGGGAAGATTCTTGATTCCTTGGTTCACGTTGGGTTTTCGCACCCTAGCCTGATGCTCCTGAGGTAGAACTGAGTGCTAACAAGCTGAGGTAGAGCCAGAGAGTCTGTGGAAATCAGAGTTTGTCTTCCAGCCTCTTGTGTCTGGTGTGTTTACGTGGGATTTGGGTTGTCTCCTTTTTCTCATTGGGTACCGGCCATTACTGCTGGCATCTTTGAGTCTCCACCCAGTCTTGGGTTACCGATCAAGGAAGCTTCTATCTTCCTGTCCTGTTGGGAAGGCCTCTTCTAATCTGATGCTGTAAGCATGTGTGTCATGAGAAGTCTGTGTGGAGTTTGGTGGGCCTGTCCATTCATTTCCTCTCTGCTGTCAACTAACCTTGAGTCTACCAGATCCCAGATCCCTCCATTACTGGTCCTTCCCAATCTGCTTAGGTTTTTTATTATTTTTCCCACTTGTGCTAGGATTGGGAACAAAGCCACCCAGCACAGAAACCCCACCTCTCAGAGACCTCCACGAATGACCATCTTGGTTGCTTTCTTTTCCTCCTACAACTCGAGTCAAATTCCAGTTCAGAGCTGATCCAGAAGCCACAGGGAAATGGGAATTAGTCAAGATTAATGGATGGTGTGCTCCCAACAAGAAGAGTAAGCATCCGGGGGCCTCAGAGATACTGCGGCCTGTCTGATCTGTACTGTAGATTTTGAGCACGGTGTCTCCCTTTAGCCATATGCCAAACTAAAGCCACAGAAGAGAAGGGATTTTGTGTGCGTATTTTTTTTTTATAGTAGTGATTGTATGGTGCTGTCATGATGTTTATGAAAGGTGCCCAGCCTTGTGCTGGCTCTTGACTGCATGATCCCGTTTGAGCCTCTTCTGTACAAAGCAGGGCTATTACTGTCCCCAGATGTACAGGAAAAACAGATAGAAGTTGAAAGAAGTTAAGTAACCTGCTGGGATTTAAGTGAAAGAGCTGGGATTTAAGACCTGCCGAATCCAAGAGCCTGAGCTTTTAAAGCACCACTGGAGTAGTTCACATAGCCTATTTGCAGCGTTTTATTTCTAAAACCACCATATGTAAGACAATCATAAGCAGTTAAAGTTTGCTTAAATTTCTTTTACCCTCTAAATGGCTCATACCCATGGAGCAATTTGCTTAATGATAGGGGGAGTCTTTCTCCTCAGTCGAACGGCTATTTCCTCCCAGCGCTAAGGATCTATTCCCTCTGCTTGTGAATTCTTTCCCCACGCTGACTGCTTCTCTTCCTTCATCACCATTTTCCCAACAAGAAGCTAAGGAACCCAGGTGCCCAGATCCGAAGGGCCTTCAAGGTACTTTTTTTTTCTCTAGTCAATTCCTTGGCAAGTCATTTAATGGAAGTGTTTTCTTAGTGAAACTATAACATTTCTCAAAGTGTGCACATCAAGATTTGCCTCTCAGGCTTCTTTGCAGACATTAACAAAAGTGCCAGAACTTTGTGATCTTTGATGTGCTCAGGGTAGGGTCACCTGGGCATTACTCCCGATGCTGTTGGATACCTGGGCGCCTGTCCCATCTTCTCCTGTGGACGCCTTCTCTAAACCACGGCAAACCCAAATGGGTTCTCCTCGGCTCCATCTGGATGCCAGGCCTGCTGAGCTTGAGAGGGTCTCCGGGGAAGAGGCTGGAATAGTGTGAACAGTCCGGCTGAGTATCACTCTCCAAATGCTCATGGAATTATTCCAGGCTGCCTGGGTGGGAGCAGGTGGCCGGTGTGGTGTCACCATGACTCCTCCTCTGTGTGGAGATTAGACCTGCTCCACTTCTCTAAATATAGACGTGCAGCTGCCCTCCCATCTCCAGACAGTACTCAGGGGAAGATTGATGGCAGAGGCTCCAGCTCCAGCAGAGACCAGGGGACGCGCGGGGCAATGTCACCGGCTCGCGGTGGCCTTGTGCCAGCCCTCCCCCTCAGGGACCGCAGCTGCTCCAGGGGTCCCCTTCACTCGCCCATTGTGCCAGCACACTTTCCCATTCCCATCCTTCATTTGACCCACCACCACCACCGATCAGGGTCTTCTTTGACTTCAAAACGATCAAGAATGTGCCTCAGTTTCCCTTTGTCACTTTGTTGCTCAGTCCTCTTCTTGTGGCTCTTTCTAGCCAACTCTCCGCCCACCTTCCCCCTCCCCCCCAACATGGCCTGCGCCATCCAGTCCCCAGGTCTCTTTCTCCCTGGCCTGATATTCCTGCCTGGTCTTCAACTATGCCTGGTGCTACCTGGCCCACCCAGAGAGAGATGAACGCTCTTCTCCTCAGCGCTGCTCCAGGATTCTGCTCATTGTCTCCCTAACATGAATTCTGTTCCTTACACGTGCTGCCTACACGTCTTCTCTTTCTATTCTCTCCTTCTTCATGGCACAAATCAAACTATATTTATCTTGCTAATTCTCCCGAGGGTTTAGCCCAGTGTCTAGACTATGGCAGGCTCATTAAAAAAAAAAAAAAGATTAGTAGGTCCTTAATTAAATTCAAAAGGATTTAAAAAATTGACACATAATAATGATACATATTCATGAGGCAGAGTGTGATAATTTGGAGCATGTGATAATTTGGTATATGATGTATAATGATGAAGTCAGGACAACTTGCACTTGCATTTACTGAACCGGAGGGCCGGCACTTCTGTCTGTCTGTGAGTCACTCTCGTTCAGGGGCGCTGCCAGTTTTCTCTGCCTCATTCCAGTTTTAGTATAGATACTGCCAAAATAGGCACCGAAGGGAATATTCTCATTAAAAACTATTTTTTGGATGAATTGGGTGTGTATCAAGGAATTAAATATAGCATTTACCATAGGAAATGGGAGTCACATCACCTTTATTCTCTTCCTTCCTCTTCAGGGGACCCCACCTCTGGGTTGCCTGGAAAAAAATAGAACTCACGTGACAGGACTAACCCAGACTCCAGCGTGAGAGACTGAGGTGCTTCTGGGAGCAAAGTTTATCTCACTGTAGGCAAAGAAGGCTCAAAGTCTTCGTCTTAGAGTTTTCTGGGGGCGCTGGCAGAATGGCAAAAGATCCAAAGTTGAAGGGCATGTGGAGATTGACATTCGCATGAAAACTTTGCCTTTCATTTGAAATAGGCTGCTGAATTTGGTCTGTTAATTGGTTCAGCTGGGGAGCAGGGGGTGCTTTTGATAGCGATAAGGGGGAGGAGCGGGGGGAAATGACCCGGGGTCAGCCTGTGCTACCCATTCCACCGTGGACAGGCTTGTTTATTTGCACAAAGCCATCTCTGAGCCGTCCAAACACACTAAGTAGGAAAATTTATGGAGGCAAAGACAGATTACTTGTCGGCGACTGACTCATCTTGTGACCTTAGGGAGCCTGTGTTTGCCGCCTGTCTCAGCAGTCTCTGAGAGGAGCTGTCCCCCGGGCCCTGGGTTCATTCCCAGGATGGGTGTTTTGGAGTTTTGGTCATGATGATGGCCA